GAGAAAGACTGGTGACGTGCCTCCAACCAAAATAGGAAAACGCTTTTACCCCGGACTGTAAACAGTTGTGATTGATCGTGGTGGCACATCGCCCATAAAAGACGTTTACGCTCCTCTGAATCCGTCATCTTGGAGCCAGACACCCATATCTTCATTTTACTCAGTGCTTTCCTGATCTTAGAGCATCTTTCCAGAAAGTTGTCTAAATGATCCCTCCGTCCCGGCTGTCTGATGCCTGGCATCGTCATTTTGCTGGGTCTGTTGTCTGTATGCCGCTGCTCAGGCTGGCGCTCGCCCCTGCCAACCATCATCACACACACACCTGTACCAGCATCTGTCCATCCTGCAGATTGGCACAGGTGCTGCCTTTAGATTGACTGTCTACGTGCCGTTAAGTTAATGCACACCTCCAAGCGCCGCAGACATTTTTCACCTAAATTGCAAGACCTCATCTTGTTCTGCTTCTCTCACTATATTTGTCTGTCACACATATTTACACACACACACACACACACACACACACACTGATCAGAAGCCCAAAGGGGTCGTTTACTTTATCTGTCCATCCATCTGTCCGTTTGTCAGTGGGAACTCTTTATGATTCCAGGCGCAACACTGCAATGATGACGTGTGTACCCGCAGTCTAATTCCATCATCAGCATCATTACTGCTATTATGCCGTGTCTCCCTATAATACAGGCTAATGGATGACCAATAAAGATAGATGAGCCTGGCAGTGTGGAGCTAATAGGCAGGACATGATGTCTGGCTTCTGTCCTGACTCTAGTCTTTACCCGATCAACTGCCCCCATAGATAAAGCATAGGTAAAATATGATCCAGAGTTATTCCTTCAACTTGAATCAATCGCTGTATCTTCTGCTCATTAGCGTGCCGATAGTTTGCAACGACTCAGGGTGGATTTTGTGTGCTTGAGTAACTATTTAAAAAAAGAGCTGACTGGATTTATTAAATAAATATCAGCTCTGCTTTTAATTCTCATGATGGTGTGAAGTCAACACACAACAGTGGGCACACAGCACTGATATTTAAAAGTGATATTTATTACCGCTTCGGACATGGAAAGGTCATTTTATACGTGACTGAAAGTGCAGCAGCCCCTCTCTAATTACATGTACTGTATATAGTCTGATATAAGGGTGTGTGTGTGTGTTTGTTAGACAGCGAGAGCATTCCTGCTGTTACATGGTAAATGTTTTCTGTGAACAAGGCCTGAGACCCACCAAGGAGATTAAAATGAGAAGTCATGGCGTCATATCTTTGGGTACAATACATGGGCAGTAAAATCTGGTCTGCACTATAATAGAACATGGAGAGGACTCATTTGTTTCACTGTAGCATCTACAGCTATCATCCATTCAAGTGTACCCAAAAAGTTCTCTCAGGCCAAGTGAACCCATGGAGGCTACAAATGACACACCCACAGAGCACCTGAGTGGTCACCATCCCTTTATTTCTAACAGTGTCTGCTGTAACCCTCCGACATCGCAGCTCCAGTTACATGTGTCACACCCCATAGCTCCCATGGGGTGAGACAGCATGTCCCAGCTTTCATTTTATAGCCTTAGGACCCACTGTAATGTTTGGGTCAGAGGGATGTCAATCAACCACAGACAGGATTTTAACTTTCTGTCCTACTTCCTGGTATATTACATTGATGGTGAATTACAAAAACAACCTACATAAAATAGTCAATACGTCCAGTGAGATTGCTGGACAGCAGCAAACTGCAAAACTACTGAGTGGTGAAAAAAGGGCAGGTGATTAATAGGGAGCTTTACATCCCCTATTTAGTATATTCGAGCTGTTACTATCAGGCGGTATCGGGTGCCATCCCTCCGAACCAACCAGGCTCACAGATCATTTGTGCCTACCATTGTTGCACTGTTTAACAAACTGTGAACGAAAAAACGGAACCTCTGTGTGTGTATGCAGCACCTTAAGATATGTAGAGTGCTTCAGTGATATGTGGCGGACAGGTTTATATATTTATATATATATATTTATATATTTTTGTTTATCCTCCTGAGACCTGAACTTGTGTTTGCTATGCATTTTTAATTCCTCCTAGCTATTTGGGATCAGTAGAGCCTGATAAGTATAAACAACTAAACATTGTCAATGATAATAAAGTCCCAATGTCCTCAAACTAGGCGATAATAAAGTTCCAAAGTCCTTTAACAAGTTGAATATTCCCAATGTCTTCAAAAATGTTCTCAGATGAGTACTTCCTAATTGACAGGGTCTTAGCTTGTTATTGTTGCTAGAATTAGTCTAATTTGTTGTCATATCAAATTACAAGCTTTATCAATGATAAATAAACAAGTTTCAACCATAAAATATGATCAGGTTTTGGACCTTGTCCACTTTTGTGTCGGGATCGGCTGCAGACAGACTTGGCAGAGATGGCTGCCATTTTGTTTTTACATGGATTAGTGTATGGTGATCTTACTACCACTAGATGGCACAAAGAAGTGTCCACAAATGAGGACAACAGGTTTAAGTTAAGCAGAGTGAAGTAGAAAGTCCAGTAAACCCAAAATGTGATGTCCTCATGAGGACGCAGGGTCTCAGGAGGTTATTTATCTGATGAATGCTGTACAGTACATGATGAATTCTCGACTAATGTATGTATCTGTATGGACCATGGGCATGTGAATATCTTTACTAAACCATAATATACTTCATCCCCTTATTGCATAGATAAACAGTACACCATTTATCACTTGTGAGATAATCAAGAAAATATTATATAACAAGTGGCAAAGATGCGGCAGTGACCAATCAGCCTTGCAGTTCATATATAAAAGTGTACACTTTCTATATATTACACAAAACAGTGAGTTCATTCCAGCACTGTGACCTGGTTGAGCCGAACAAGAGAGCTCAGGAGTGCAGTGAAGCAACGTTTCATGAAATAATTACAGAGAGGGAAAGGGAGTACATGGGTTAAGTTGTGAGACTTTTGGTGCATGAAAATAGTTCTCACAGAGGCTGACGTGACGTACAGTACCTTATAAAGACTAGTTCAGAAATAAAAAGTACTTTAAGTAGAGCAACTGTGCAAACTGGCATGAATAGTAATTTGTATTAGCAATGGATTTACAGTCAGTTTTGTAAACTGTGCTATCATGAATTACATGATGATATAAGTGTATTTGTCACTCTTTTTTCTCCACTTTGCTTTACATTAATGTATCTCAGTCATTATTCTTATTATTAACTGATGCGCTGCTGTTCTTATTGCTATTTCTCAACCTCATATGAGGGAGGGTGGGAGGGAGTGGGTGCGGATTCATTCTTGGAAAAGCTCATGTCACTAAATAGTTTTGCTCCTAAAATGCTAATAAAATATGTTTAGGAATTACATGATGACAATAGGGGTGGATTAAATGGAAATAGCAGACTGTGGTGAGTTTACAAGAAATGTATCACTTTATTAGGAGTTGTTCTGAAAAAAAAAGCAGGAAAATGTGTGTGTTTAGAGGGATTTTCTTTAAAATTACATAATCACATTTAGAACTGTCTGTTAAAAAAAATAAAATTCCCATCTTTTGAGCACCCACTTAAACTCTTTTGGAGAAAGTTGTTTAAATTTAGATTAAACTTCGACATCATGCAAGACTTTTACATGGAGTGGAGTTCCCCTTTAATCACTGGCCACTTCAAAGACAGAACACTGCAGAAACTGAGCAGCCTTATGTTGACAAGCCCAGCCTTGAGGACAGGGGAGCCACTGAACAGAAGCTTAGATTAGCAGTAATCCTCTGTTCGACTTGTTGAGAAGCTGCTCAAATCTCTTATCCATCACTCTCGTTCCTGTTATAGTTTTTGGGGCCTCTGCCAAAATATCAGTGCATAGATGTATATGAAATAATCAAACCTTTCATTAAAAAATGCTGCAAAATTAACTTCTTCTGACAACTTAGTACTTCTTCACTGAAAAGTTATGCAGCTAGTCTCAGATGTAACCACTCACTTGTATTAAAAACAGCCTAAAATCCTGCTCCAATAGCTGACATAAAATGACTGGCATTTTGTTCTGAGCGTTATTGTGATCGCTTTGTTTGTTTGTTTTTAAATTCTCTTGTATACATCTAACAGACTCTGAAACCGGTCATACAGCACAGTGAACAAACATCATGGGAGAGGTGGCATTTGAATCAGGCCTAATCATAACTAACTAAATGCCTGAAACTATGAAACGAAATATCAGAGAAGAAAAAAAGCCTCCATATAGTTCTGCATCAGTTACTTTTCAATTACAGCAGCCGAAGCAGAACGAAATTGTTAGTGTCATTTATCGACTGTGGTGCTCTCCATTAGAGTAACAACTGAGAGAAATCCATCCTGTGTTTATAACCACCTAGCTGTCTTACAATAACAAAGAGTTCATTTCTGTCAGCTGGCCTTAAGTCTCTCTGTTGTGATACAAAGAGGAGATGAGAGGTGGGGCTGCACCAGGAAACACATGAAAGCACACTGACACCAATGAGATCTGACCAGGCAGGTAATCATCTTGGTGGCTTTTCTTACAGCAGCTCCCTGAAACAATTCCCTTAGAAGACAAAGTGAGAAGTAATGGGTGTCTAAATTCATGAGTAATGACCCAAGATGTGTGAAATGTCTTCCTTAATCACTTAAAACAATGCTTAGAATATTAAAAAATGGATAGTGGTATTTTTGGAAGTCTTGTTCTTTGAAGATTTTTTTAAATTTAAGAGAAATAAAAACGCTTTTTAATATTATAATGGCACTACAGGTGCAAGGGAGAATTGTGTTTAAATTTTTTATGATACAAATAAATCAAAATTGTTTTTAAACACTTAATTATCTGAACATCTCCTAACAGCAAAGTTAATGTCATGTCTATTACTTATGCCTTGATGATCTACCCTGGTGATGTGGACCAGGCAAGAGTAGCCGAGCGCAGACACCATCTCCAGCCCCCCCTATGTGTATATTTTTTTTAATACTTTGTGAGGAAAAACTGTCAACCATATCCAAAGTGCAGGACCAAAGAGAAGTAAATAATGTATGCTTTTGTTAGATTCTTTGAAGACGATATGTGCTACGCGTTACCCGTTTCAAATGTCGAAGATTTCAGACCTCTGCACAAAACAGATTTTGATAATCAGAAGGTGTATCTGGTTCACAGAACTGAAGAGAATGGCAGCGCAGGCCAGCCGTGCGAAGCACAGATCCTTGCCCTTGCAGGTAAGTTGCCCTCTTAACACATCAGCTTTTCTCTTTTTGATGCTGTTTTTCTCTGCCTGACCAAGTAACGTTGATGTGCGCGAAACGTGTCAAGGTGTCAAAGCAAGTCCTTTTGTCCGATGTGTCAGGACGTGATCAGCTGGAATCTGACACTGATAGCCACAACAACGTCCTCGGCTGTGGCTAGCTAGATAAGCTAGTTAGATATGCTAAGATAAGTTTGGTGGGTAGTCATACCTTGTCGTCAGTGCTTTATAGATTTTTACACTCTGTGTGTCGTTTTCCAAGAGTTAGGTCTCTTGTTTCGACAGAGTAGTGCTGCTTGTTTCGCTAAATACGTGGCATGCAATGTTAGCCAGTCACAACGGTTGTTTACAACATGGAGCTAACGCTTGCTAGCTTGATGTGTATTCGTTCCGCGTTAGCATGTTAGCGCTGACGCGCTAGTTAGCTGCGTGCAGACGCAGAGCTGTCACTACATGATAAACACATGTGACAGCTCGTGGTTGAACTGTTGTCAGTTTTACAGATGTTTGCAGATGTTGTCGAGACGATAGCCCGAGAGCTTTGGTGGGTTGCGGTTAGCTTGTTAGCTGCTTATTTGTCGGTTTGTGCCACAGAGGGGATGCGGTGCTGCAGTCATCGCCGTGTCTCGGATATTATGGAGACAACGTATAACAGTCAGTCTGTCAGTAACATGTCAGCGTCATGGCTTTCTCATGACAGCGCATCATGTCAGTGTGCTGAAGTGTGCAAGTGAAATAATTTGCTTAACGTTATCTTGTCACAGTGATGTTTGCTCGCGGTCATTTTCTATGCTCGAGCTTTAACTAGCTACATCACTAATCCCCGAATCTGAGCTGTCTGGGCTGCGAGACCGGTCCGATCTCTCTAACCTTCACAGCGCCTGGTATGTTAAAGCGCCGTATAGACAGGACAATTTGTGTTGCAGCCCTCTGTAAAGCTTAATTCTGGGCTAAGAGTGCTAAAAACTAGTTTGATCTATCAGAATGGAAAGACAAAACGCCCTCTGCTCCAGTTGGACAAATGGATGAAATAATTCTGCAGGTACTTTTCACGTTTTATGACAATCCATCTAACTTTTTGGAAACTTTATGAGGTTCTCCCTGCTTGTATTTCTGCACTTTACAGATACAGTAGAGGAATTTGAAGACAGTATAATGCAAAAGAAGATGAAAATTCCCAAGATGTCCATCAAGAATTCAGGAAACTCTATTGAGAACAATTTTGGAGAGGAGAGGATGCCTCTCAGACATAAAAAGGTAGGCTCACCTAGAGTAGACAGTCCTTGTGTTATTTTGGAAGTATTTTCATTTAAATGGGCAGCACTGGATAATGGACTCATCCTCACAGAAGTGTGCTTGTAACATACAATCACACTGCTCCTTGATAATGCTGAAATGATGATTATTTTTGATAGCAGGGGTGAAATGAAATTTTGATATACTTAAATATTATCCCACTGAAATTACTCACATAAACAATCTTGTGTCTGAGCACCCTAAATATTTTTGCACACTGAAAAAACTTATGTCAACAGTGTGTACGTGGGCGCAGTGTGACTGCATGTGTCATGCCGATGCACACACAACAGTAGTCCTGTATTTAAATATATCTATTGATAATACAATGTCACATTTCCATAAACTTGGCTGACACCCAAAATCCCCCACGCTATTTTTACCATATGCTGGATTAACACAAATTCAGCACTCTGGACAGCTGCCCTTTCACAGACAAATCCTCTGAGCGGCTCATCAAAGAACTCAGTGACTCCTCTTCTCCCAGTTCCTGTTGAGATCCACACAGTCAAAACAAACTGTTTGCAGTCTGTCATGTTAGTTTTCGATTGATTTTTCTATCTTATTTGCTTTATAAGCTTGTCACATATCAAGAGCACATTGTCACTGGTGCAGCAAAAATATTCTGTAAAATATTCTTCAAACACCTGTTTTATTTTTATCCTGTTCATATACTCAAATTCAAGTTTAATCAAATTGGCCTATTTGTTTCCTAAATTGACAGTTGTTATTTTCTTCAGGCCCTGTCTCAGGACCACGGACGCCCCCTTTCCAACTCCTCCAAGAGCCTGGCAGCAGTAGTGGCTCGCCTGGAGAGAAATGCAGCCAGCTCCTGTATGGAGGGCGAGGAGGACCTGGACGAGGACCGGCTGGCCGAGGAGGGAGAAGATGCGGACGACGAAGATGAAGATATGGAAGCAGAGCATCAGCAACATCATCACCAGCAGCAACAACAGCATTTGGAGGTAGACACGGATTGTGTGTCTGGGATAGCTGCGGCGGTGGTTCCTAGGGTCCTGTACGAGGAGCTGGTTCACAGCTACAGGCAACAGGAGGAGGAGATGAGGAGGCTGCAGCAGGAGTTGGAGAGAACCCGCAGGCAGCTGGTGCAGCAGGCCAAGAAGCTGAAGGAATATGGCAGCTTGCTGACAGAAGTCAAAGAACTGAGGGACTTCAACAGGAGGCTGCAAGACGTACTTCTCATGAGACTAGGCAGCGGTGAGACACCAGGAGGAGCATGCACACCAACACACACACCACTGCTGTGTATGCCACAGAGTTTATTAGCCTTCAGTCATTTAAAGAAAACTTCTACTTAAGTCAAATTGATATTGAGAGTGAAGACCTACATAGTCGTAAGACGCCAATTCAAAGCTTTTTATTTTTAGAAAATCAGTCATAGACAGCCAGAATATTCCATTTTCAGTGTCAGGAGGAGAGGGAGGCGTGTGTGTAGACATATTCTAACCCTAGAGTTTACTGTATGTCTGCACAGTGCACTGATTGTACCTCTCTGACATGCCTTTTTTATGAACATCTAGGTGACAAATGACAAACGTAACTGTTAAGTACATAGTAAGATGCAGCTAAAGGCCCTTGAATGGGTCTTTGGCACTATTTAGACCTTGGCTTTTCAGTCTAGATTCACATGAACACTTTGGGCTGCGGTTAAAAATGGTCTTTCTACTGAAAGTAAGATACACAGATAAAGTTAAGAACAAGAACCTCAAGTTAGGGTGCTTTAGTTTGGCTTGCTTCTTCAGCTAATGGTGGACTAATGGTGAGAGTGACCATCCTAAAACCAAAGAGGGTTGTAGGTTTAGTCAAGCTTAATAACGTGTAGGCATTTCTTGATATTAAAAACACTATCAGACATTGCGATTTTTAAAGATACATATAGAGAAATTTCCCCCCTGTAGCAGTGTGAAGTAGATCAGGTTTGCTAATGCGTATCAATTAGCCTGTAAATTATGTCAAGTTTATATTGTATAGCCCAGTTTTACATACACTATATCAGTATTCCCAGAGCAGCAGTGTTTTCTGTGCAGGTTTCCAAGATCCCCAAGAAGACTTAAGATAAAAAGGATAAAAGAAGAAGTCTTTGCAGAAGGAAATTTAAAGTCAGATTTACAACTGGGGCTTGAATGTAAGCAGTCAGCCTGGAAGAGGAGGTTATAAAAGAAAAAAAGAACAGATACATACACATAATACAACAATGAGATTATAATCCAGCAATAGGATTTTAATGAATCCAGTACAAAAGTAGTGAATCCAGTACAGGAAGTTGAACAAAAGGCACTACAAGTGTGATTAAAAGTGGTGTCAGTGCAGTGCGCAGCAGTGTGCAAACTCGAGCATTGCCAGATGCTGGTGTTGTTAACCTCAGCCCAAATGTAGATTGGGACAGAGGCGCCCGGCTACTGGCAGGACCATCTAATGGACAGGCTAAAGATTAGAGCACCCTGGGGTGCTGTCGGGCAGAGGATGGAGTGCACTGACCGATATTAAAACTCATCAGCTACATTGGAGCTTAACATGGCCAGCCACCAAGCCAGCTTAGTTACTGGGCTAAAATAACTGCCTGTCTCGAGGCACAAGGGAGTAAAGGGCCAAGGCGGGAAGCAAGCAGACAAGCAGGTGGGAACTGGTCCAGTTTTAAAGACCAGAAAAGTCATGGCGACATGCTGCTAGATACTGTGGAGATTAAAGTTCAACTAGCTGTTTCCAACTAGCATGTAGGCAAGTGTTATCAGTGTCCTTTTGACTAGTACCTGATAAATGACCTCTGATGATACTGCGTCAATTTGAAGTGCTGACAGACGTCAATTTGTCACGTTTATCTCCGTAATGTTAAATGTTTGCTTTGTATCTACAGAGCCTATGCATGACAATGGCACTCAGACAATCAAGGCTGAAGTGGTTGAACCCATTGTTGAGCCCCAGGAGACATGCAGAGAAGAAGCCAACACCAGTTCCAGCTACTCACCTTCACCCAGAACAGTGTACACCTGCAACGATGGGAAGGTAAGTCTCACTGGACTGATGGACACTCTTTATTTCCTTACCTATCCCTGTTTCCATCTCGCTGGCACGTTAATACCACCTTTTCAACTGTCTTGTCTTGTCTGTTCACATGCCTATTTTTCTGATACCAACCTTCCATGTGGTCTTTGTCACGTTCCCGTCGAGTTGTCATCTTTTTTTGTGTGTATTTTGACATTTATTCTTGAAGGCAAAATCACTCATGTAGAGGTAAACAAGAGGGTAACCCTGGCACTGCCATTCATAACAGTCCAACATACAACAAATTTTAAGGTGTTTTCTGATGCTTTTAAAGGCTTGTTAGTAAAGCTCAGTCAGTCAGCAGTAAACCAGGCTTGTATTTTTAGCAGTGATCAATTTAATCTCTGAATCAAACACATAAATTGCATATTTTTCTTTTATATGTCGATCTCTTGACTTATATATATAAATATGCCTGTATTTATATGGTCAGATGTTACATTACAGAGAGAGACTTTCAGCCTTCCCTTTAAGGGTATCCCAAAAACCCCTCTCACCCTTCGCAAGCCCTGAATCCTTCAACTCCCTCTTCTGCATCCCTGGCTCTCTGCCTGGAGGTGATCGCGGGAAGTATCCTGATTTTGCAGGAAATGCTGTATTTCCTCTTAACACCCATGGACCTGGGAACATGCCGTCATAGTTGATCAGTCTTTTCCCCCTGGCTGCCCTACCCTAGCAGGTAAACAAGGTTGAGAAGATTATTATTGTTCCTGCAAGCCCAGCCAGCATCATCAGTGTTTATTAGCCTGTTAGGGTTCTTTACTCCCCCCACCGCTGTAACTCAACCAGCGTCCTGTCTCTGATGACAGGGGGGGAATTGGTACTACAAGCTCTGGGGCCTGCAGCCACTTCAAGCGTGAAGAACACTTGCAAATTAGAACTCTCCTACATCAGGGACCCCATATTAATTATTTGCACGAGAGGAATTTAAAGTGACTGACAGGTTAGCCCTAGTGAGAGAGTGAGAGAGGAGGGGAAAAGGTGCAAAAGGAGGCGGAGAGATGGAGGGAGAGAGATAAACGAGAGCAATGGGGAGGGAGGGAAAACAATCTTGTCTAACTTAAGGGCAGTAAAAAGCTTGTCTGCTGGCCGGGGGCCTAAAGCACATTAGCTGCACAGGGAAAAGCCTTTTGGATGCTAGCCTAAAGACTTTACAGTGATAAGAGAGTAGAGAAGGGAAAGTCACATATGCCCCTCGCTGCATTAGCTCACCTAGAAGACCAGGGCAGTCTGGCGAGGCCGGCAATCGGCTTGGAGTGTTTGGTGCAGGCTTATGCAATGTGCAGGGGAAGTGTGTAGAGCGCTACAGGCTAAGTTCATATTGGAGGTAATCCAGGCTACAAGCAGCCAGTGACCTGAGCTTATTTATGCATCCTGGTTGGTGAAAGTGGTGCTTCTTGGGATTTGTAATTTGGTCCAAGCGGGAGCTGGTTGAAATGTGTTCTCTCATGACAGGCTATGATCTGCCTTGTCCATTTAGATTTAGAGGGGTTTACACCCACACTGAGCATTGTGGATGGGTGACACTGGATTCAGATCCTGCAGCACCCAACACAAATGTACCAGGCAAGTGGGCGGTCAGCGTCATCATCATTGGATAAAATGTATTATTGAATTTCCAGTCAGTCCTATGCTCCCAAGTATGGTACCAAATAGAGTTAAATCTCAGTTTAGTTCTTTTTTCTCCTTCGCCTGGTTGCTTCTTGCTCTCCCTCTTGTATAAATTTTGTTTAAACATCAATAAGATTTAATGAAATTGCCATCCCTACTTCAAATCGGATCTGTAAACAATAAAGTCTAACTATTGCTCTGAAGTCTGATGCTCCAGCATCTGTTGAAACAACATGAACCATCAGGGATCCATGTTTTCGTCCACTTTAATTTCTCAGTGTCTCAAAGTTTTTTTTGTTTATTTTGTTTTTAAGACATTTAGCAAAGCTATTTTTTTGTTCACAACTTCTAAAGGTTATGAAACAGTTGGGTAACTGTTATAGCATTTGTTTATTTTGTTCAAAGTATTTATTTTCCCCGTGGATGATGCAGACAGATTTTCACTTGGTGGTACTGATTAGAAATCTTGCACGAGTGAGCGAGCGCGGAGTTGAAGACACTGTCCTGTAGAGCATTGTCTGCTTGAAAGTGTCAATGCGCCAGTCCTGTTGTTTTTAAACCGAACTGATAAAAGTCACAGTGCATTCGTTTTTCATTTTGTCTGGCGCTGTGCAGATGACAACGCTTACAAGATATTTTTACCTACAGCAGACTGCACATGTTGAAATGTGGTTTAACACTTGTCCTCTCGGCAGGTACACCTCGGTGGAGGGATCTGGGTGGAGGAGGAGAAGTGGCACCAGCTGCAGCGGACCCAGGGAGACTCCAAGTTCACAAAGAACCTGGCTGTAATGATCTGGGGCACAGAAACCCTCAAGAACCGTAGTGTCACTGGAGTGGCCACCAAAAAGAAGAAAGATGCCCTGCCCAAACCTCCACTGTCGCCCAGCAAACTGAAAATCGTCAGAGGTAAGATAAACTCCCAAGTTTAAACCTATAAAATCAAGGCTGTGAAAGAGATGAATTCTTGTTCTGGTGGGTTTTTATTAAGCTGAGACGAGTTGGAAAACATCAGGTACAGAAAAGTGAATTTCTTCTTTTCATACAGCCTTTGAATCATTTGATTATATTCATTAGATACCAGACAAAGATAAGATTAGTCGTTTTTAATTCGATGTAGTCTGACTGCTCACGCTCGCTCCTTCCCCAGAGTGTCTCTACGACAGAGTGTCTCAAGAGACAGCCGACAGTGCAGAGATTACGCAGAGATTGTCCAAAGTGAACAAATACATTTGTGAAAAGATAATGGACATCAACAAGTCCATCAAGAACGAGGAGCGGCGGGAGTCCAAGCTGCTCATCAGACAGACAGTCAAGATGGAAAACTTCACCTACGATGGCATGTAGTGATCAACTGTTGTCACGCCAGCGCCTTCTGCCCCCCCCCCCCTCGTGGTCCGCAGGATATTGAGGGGACTTGATATGGGTGGTTGGAGGGATGTTTGTCACAATTTCAGGAGCAGTCATTTTTTCTTTGATACATCGGATTGGTTATTACGTGAAACGTTAAAACAAATCAACCCCTTTCCCAGCTCCCTAACCATCACCTTCCTCAGTGCCCAGTTTTCCCATTGGCTTTACCCACAGACAGCTTTACCCACCAGTGAGAGGTTGTGTGAACTAGTTTGATATGAGCTGGTATGAGTGTTTTTATAAGCTTTACAGTGGGTTTGGTACAGAGACATGATTTATTGTTGTGTGTGCATTTGTGTCAAAGGAGAGATTAGGTGTAATTGTTAAATTGATTTATTGTTCTGTGTCAGAACATAGCTTTGAGTCCTAAAACTTTTAAAAAGTATGAGGTTATTTCCCTAAGTAAAGTCTTCTGATGCTACAAAGATGATGATGCTAGCTTGCGTTAGGTCTTAGACGTGTGAACGGCTGGATATTTTGGTGACTACCCGATAACTGCTGGGAACCTGAGTGTTTGCTGTTGGTACTTACTGCATAAAATGGGACATCAGGGTCTCAGATGCACAAGTCTTAATTGGTAACAGCCATATTTTGCAACAGAGGTTCTGTTGCGCCAAGAGATTAATCATAAGTGTGTGCGCCCCCTTAACTGTAGGTCAGTGACAACACTTTGCTTTATTAAAGAGACAGCTTACAGAGGTTAAATGGGAAGTATGGCTCTAATGTAGAGTCTATAGAGTGCTATATTTGTTTTGTTTTTTATGCTGACCATTTAGTTATGAGCGTTTGCCATCAGTGAGAAAGGTTTGGATGGGATGTTCCTGTGTTACTCTTAATCAAACATGTCACTTTAAGACAATTTGACTGTTTAATGAGTTGTAGTGGTACAGGCATGTTGATGCCTCGAAAGGCCTTAAATGGATTTGGCAATCACCAGGGCTGGTACGCCCCTGGGTTTTCTAGTAAGCTGTGATTGTAAATGTATAGTAAGCTGAAGCGACGAAGCTTCACCTGCACTTTGCTGTGAGAATGTGAGAGGTGGCTAGGTACTATTTTCTGTGTGACTCACACCATTAAGTTGAGCTGAGCCGGGCTACTTGCTACCCCCCACCTCTTGTAGTTAAAAGATGCTGCGCTGCACGGGACAATGTGGGGAAGAAAAAAAACAGGGCACAGCTCTGCGCGGTTCAGGTCATCTTCATGTGGAAGCAGTGTTAGCTGTGGGTAAAGCTGTCTGAAACGCTATTGTGCTGTCTGAAGTCGTCTGGGCCTGCTGAATCCCATAATAACCCCCTCTTTTTTAAGCCACACCACTGGGGAACAAAGTAAGGTCGCTCCAGTGACAATTTCCTCTGAGCTATGCCATCAGAACTTTGAAAATGTCCTTTTTTTTCTTGTATGTTTTTTTTTATGAGTTTTTTTTTTTTCTTCTCTCCAGTTTTTTTATTGTTTTGATCCAAAATGGTTTGTGTGGCTGTCTGCAGGCTGGAACTAAACGCTGCAGATTGAAATCTCAACTGTGACCTAGCTGTGGCTAACTGTGAATCTGCTGCAGAGCTGCCCATCAAGCCTCTCTCCTCTTCATACTTTAGATTCTCGTTTGTCGGTTGGTTTATTTCCGTCTATCATTTTGTCTGTCTTGTTTTTTTGTTTTTTTTTGTTATTTCAAAAGTTCAGATCAGCCTTTTGTTAAGCTACCTTTGGAGAAATTTTAGTGTACATAAAACATATCTTTTTATTTTTTCCACCAAACATGGGTATTTCAGTTTGTAGTCATGTTACAGTTTTAAAGGTTCTGGTTTATCTAATTGATGTTGTAATTCCACGTTACCTGACAATTTCTTGTGTTTCTTTTTACACTTTTTGTTTTTTTCATATGAATTGTTGGCTTTAAGCTTGATGTTGTATCCAAATGTAGATTGTTAGAATCTACAAATGAGAAAAAAAAATCCCCCTTTCCTGGCCAAAGTGATCTCTGTGGAACAAGAGAGACAAGGCTTCCCTTAAGAGCCCATACAGTGGGTACGGAAAGTATTCAGACCCCTTTAAATTTTTCACTCTTTGTTTCATTGCAGCCATTTGCTAAAATCAAAAAAGTTCATTTTATTCCTCGTGAATGTACACTCAGCACCCCATCTTGACAGAAAAAAACAGAAATGTAGAAATTTTTGCAAATTAATTAAAAAAGAAAAACTGAAATATCACATGGTCATAAGTATTCAGACCCTTTGCTGTGACACCCATATTTAACTCACATGCTGTCCATTTCTTCTGATCCTCCTTGAGATGGTTCTGCTCCTTCATTGGAGTCCAGCTGTGTTTAATTAAACTGATTGGACTTGATTAGGAAAGGCACACACCTGTCTATATAAGACCTTACAGCTCACAGTGCATGTCAGAGCAAATGAGAATCATGAGGTCGAAGGAACTGCCCAAGGAGCTCAGAGACAGAATTGTGGCAAGGCACAGATCTGGCCAAGGTTACAAAAGAATTTCTGCAGCACTCAAGGTTCCTAAGAGCACAGTGGCCTCCATAATCCTTAAATGGAAGAAGTTTGGGACGACCAGAACTCTTCCTAGACCTGGCCGTCCATCCAGCCAAACTGAGCAATCGTGGGAGAAGAGCCTTGGTGAGAGAGGTAAAGAAGAACCCAAAGATCACTGTGGCTGAACTCCAGAGATGCAGTAGGGAGATGGGAGAAAGTTCCACAAAGTCAGCTATCACTGCAGCCCTCCACCAGTCGGGGCTTTATGGCAGAGTGGCCCGACGGAAGCCTCTCCTCAGTGCAAGACATATGAAAGCCCGCATAGAGTTTGCCAAAAAACACATGAAGGACTCCCAGACTATGAGAAATAAGATTCTCTGGTCTGATGAGACCAAGATTGAACTTTTTGGCGTTAATTCTAAGCGGTATGTGTGGAGAAAACCAGGCACTGCTCATCACCTGCCCAATACAGTCCCAACAGTGAAACATGGTGGTGGCAGCATCATGCTATGGGGGTGTTTTTCAGCTGCAGGGACAGGACGACTGGTTGCAATTGAAGGAAAGATGAATGCGGCCAAGTACAGAGATATCCTGGAAGAAAACCTCTTCCAGAGTGCTCAGGACCTCAGACTGGGCCGAAGGTTCACCTTCCAACAAGACAATGACCCTAAGCACACAGCTAAAATGACAAAGGAGTGGCTTCAGAACAACTCTGTGACCATTCTTGACTGGCCCAGCCAGAGCCCTGACCTAAACCCAATTGAGCATCTCTGGAGAGACCTGAAAATGGCTGTCCACCAACGTTCACCATCCAACCTGACAGAACTGGAGAGGATCTGCAAGGAAGAATGGCAGAGGATCCCCAAATCCAGGTGTGAAAAACTTGTTGCATCATTCCCAAGAAGACTCATGGCTGTACTAGCTCAAAAGGGTGCTTCTACTCAATACTGAGCAAAGGGTCTGAATACTTATGACCATGTGATATTTCAGTTTTTCTTTTTTAATAAATTTGCAAAAATTTCTACATTTCTGTTTTTTTCTGTCAAGATGGGGTGCTGAGTGTACATTCATGAGAAATAAAATGAACTTTTTTGATTTTAGCAAATGGCTGCAATGAAACAAAGAGTGAAAAATTTAAAGGGGTCTGAATACTTTCCGTACCCACTGTATATTAAGCTACATTCAGAACATTCGATATTTAACAAGCCTCACGTAGAGTCTACCTTCTAATGATCTGCCACAGTAAGATGAGAATCTGTATCGTTAAACCATTGTGCTCAACTGAGATGCAGTAGTTAGATCAACACAAAACCATTTACATTGAACGCACTTTAAACTTCTGGGCAATTTCTTCAATCGTAAAGAAATGTATTTGTGGTATTTGTCCTTTTTTTAAAAATATCTATATAGATAAAGCCTAACAATCATTGTATTATCATGAAGCACCTTAGAACATTTTGGTTTATTGTTTTTTTTTTATGGCAAGAATGAGTCATGGGATACAATTTTTTTGTTTTGTCAGTCAGATGTGCCCCTGATATGCCAATGCTCCAAAACAAGCTTGATAGATTTAATACTTCCAGCTACTTCTTGGAAGAAAACTTCAAGTATCTAACTCTTTTAAGATTTATTTGGGGTCTTTAGAAAACCAGAATTACACAATTCACACTGTTGAAACTGGATTGTTTAACTCCATCAGGGCCTCCTGAACAATAAATGGCTCACTTGGCAAAAGCCAAAAACTTCTCCTGGCTTTCAAGCCCAAAAACATGATTCATCAATCTAAAGATATTTACCTATGAAATGTGCAAGCTGACTGGAATATGTGCTTTAACTTAATGTGTGAAGATGCTGGTTATGCATAGATATGACTTGTATAGAAATAATTGTATTTTTTACAAATGAGTGGTAATTGTAAGCCAAAGTATTGAATGCTGAGATCAAGCTAAAGATGGGGGGGGGGGGGTCTGGTGCTGAGGAATCAGCAGGGTTTGCACAAAAGTTGGCCCATGCCAAGGTAATAGAGCCTAGTGAATCTTAAGACACCAAAATGGTGGACATATTATTGAGTTTTTTTGTTCCTGAAAAATATCCCTTTTACTGTTTTTTTTTTCCCTGTACAAAGCAACATGTGAGGTTTACGTGCGCTTGCATGTATTTAAAATACATGCGTTTTAAAAGAAAGAAAAAGATTTCTGCTGTGCAAAGCAACCATGCTGAAATTCTGACACATTGTTGTGTGTTGTGTTTGTGTTTGTTTCTTTGTTGTTTGATGCCAAAAGGGGGTGTGGTTAATATAATGCTTTAAGATGGAGCATTACTAGAGCTATTACATCATCTGAAATGTTAACTTCTTTTCAAAAGGCTGGTTTTTCCTGGAGCGCGATTAAGCCTAATCCTTTAACTAAAACCATCTTTCATGGATGAAAGCTGTATGGAAGTACTGTATGTTTTTAACCCAGATTTGGCGTAATCTGCGATGGCAAGGCCAATCTCTATCAAATGTACCAAGTCACTTGCAGTTTGGAGCAGTTTGGGTTTTAGCAGCGTATTAGTAACATACACCAGTACATAACCCGGCAGAGCCATTAATGGATGACATAGGCTAGTTTGGCTCTGCGATTCAATACCAGACCTTCCAGTACTCTCACTGTCACACTCAAGTAGCGATAGGGAGGAAATGTAACCTCGCTGGCTCTGTGATCCTCTTCCTGTGCCACCTCTAGTTCCTTACCCTCCTGACATTTATATGGACTGGGTTTAAAAATGCACATGTATCGAGATAATGGCAAATCCTGTCCTCGTCGCTTGGTGTTTTGGCTTATGTTGTGAACACCTGTCAAAGCTTCAGGAGTGAGGGGAGCTTTAAGTTGCTTTTTGACAGTTTGATTGGGGGAAAAGAGATCAGTTCTGACTTCAGTGCGTGGAACGAGATAAATGGTTTCATCTAGCAGTTTTCACAACTATAAGTGTACACAAAACACATTTGAATCTCAGATACAATGTCAAACTTATTTCAAATGAGAAAAAAATGGGAGGAACACATTGTTAGGCCTATATTTTTCTTAAGGTATCAGTAACTTTGTATACAATCCACAAACCGGTTCTACTTCATCTAACTTCACCGTCCTACCTCATTGTTACTCTGGTGTTTGTTTGTCAGTGACTGTAAACTATGTGTGTATATTAAAAAAAAAAAAAAAAATCTATAGGAAAGGTATACCTGGTTACTCTCAACATGTACAGCATATAAAACTTGTAAAACACCTCAGTACACAATATCATTCTTAGGAGAAATCAGTTTTATTACCTGCTTAAAGATGCTGCTGTAAAGGGGTGTCTGCGTGAGGGGTCGTCTCTGAATATATATCTTCGCTCTTTGCTATGTCGTGCAGTTGATCAGTGGTTGTGTTCTGTCTCTGTATTGCATTCTGAGATTTTTACTGGTTGACGGTGCTACCAGCAAACAGTTCAAAAACTGATCTGTCTATCGGACCTCAAATGGTGCTGTTTTTCTATGTTTTTAACCTCATACAGCTATGTTTTATTCAGGTGTGTCAACCGCCACTATCCCCTCAGCTAATCAAATTTTAAGCCAAAATATTTCGCGGAAAACGATAACCCTGCTATTACTGTATCAACTATATGCTATCCATCCAAATATTGTAGATAGTGATTATATCCTCAGCTGTGAGTTTCAGAAGTACCTCAGAACTTGCTGACTTTCAATGGATGCATCTGCTTCTAGCACCTGTTGTCTACCAATATTACATTGTTGCAGTGTATTTTCAGAAATATGCATTTTTACTGGTTAGATCAGGTTTCACTATACGTAGGACATGATTACTAGATCACACTCAGATGATCAATAACATTTAATGGAAACCACTGTTTACTGGTTGCATGCCAGATTGTCATAAAAGGAAATCTCAGTTGGACTGGGCAGTGTATGTCACAGTGGAAGAGGTCCTCAGCAAGACCATGTTCTGTTTGAGTCCATGTGTGTTACAGAAGTGGGATTCCATTGGTGGTTGTATTTATGGTGGAAGATTATATCCATTTGAGGTGATTTTGGCAGAGTACAAACAGGTTAAAAAATTCTGGAGGTCACGGAGAGTCTTTATGGTACATTCATGAAGACTGTTCTGGGGAGTTTTAGTCTTCTCCAGTTGTATCTTTGTCCCGTACTGATATTTAAACAACTCAAATGTAATTTTCAGTGTTAAAAATAGAAATTTAGTGTAGTAATTTGACTTACCGTGAGTTAACTCATCACATGTACAGCACCATACACAGTCTGGACTTGGCTTCCTTATACAGAAAGTGCTTTATATTATCTTTTACCTTTTCGCCGTGACACCAATGGAATCTTTTCTGCGCCAAAGTGTGTGTAGGGTGGTTTGCTTTACCTGTCAGTATGTAAATATTTGTTGATGTTTTTCTACTCTGACCATGTCTGTGAACATGTAATGTGCTGGGGAACTCTTCTCTACTGTGAGCAATGT